TTTAATTTGAATTAATAGTTTGCTATTATATACAAATAACTAAAAAAAGAAAAATGAATAAAAGAAAATACAACATTGTGGGCCCCACGGTTGATAAATATAGTTTTGCGTGGATGATAGCCTCAGAAATAAAATCTGAACATGAGACTAAAATTGAGTATTCATATCATCATTCATAAAAAACGAAGAAAGAATTTCTTTCTTTCTTTTTTGGGTTAATTAATATATTAGTATGGCATTGGTTGTGTCAAGTGTGCAATTCCAACCTCGAGTAAGAATTGTATATTGTGTAGGAAAAAGGCAAAATCGAGAGGGCATTATTGTTTGGAAAAGGGTCCTAAACCCAAACCCAAAATTCAAAACCCAATTGTGTTTGTGTAAGCAGCAGCAGCGATTGAGATGCGTGTACTCGGGTGAATACTCAGAAAATGAAGTTGATTCTCGGAATAAGTTGGTGGAATTTATTAAAAATGTATTTCCGGGTGGAAATTGGTGGAAGCTTTCATCAGAAGATGTAGATGTTGGAGGAACATCAAAGCCTGTGACTGTTGTTCGTGCTCTTAACAGAATGTGGGAATTGATAGCTGAAGATCGTTTCCTCATTTTCGCTGCTTTTACTGCTCTCATTGTTACTGCTGTACGTTCTTCTAATTCCTAACCCTTTCAAAATGATCATCCTAATGCTTTCAAATCATCCTAATCCTTTCCTTTCATCAGTTATCAGAAATTTCTATACCGCATTTTCTCACAGCATCCATCTTTACGGCACAAAGTAGCACTACCCCACTGTTCCACCGGAATGTGCGAATCTTGGTTGTGCTATGCATCATTTCCGCAATATGCAGGTCAACACTACTATTTCTTTTTTTCTATATATTTTTCGAAGCCTCCTTCTAACATTTTTCTTTTTCTTTTTCTTCATCTCCAGTGGTGTGCGAGGTTGCCTTTTTGGCATCGCAAATATGATCCTGGTCAGTCTTGTTTCTATTCACTTAAACAAATCCTGCTTTTAGTCACCTATAAAATTTATCTTTTTTTTCTTCACTGCTAAAGCCATTTAATCAAATATATATATACGAGTAATATTTTTTTAACGTTAAAAGTCTCCAAGAAACAGGATAGCTTGTTTAATTGCCTTGTACTTCATCTTCATTTGCAGGTCAAGCGAATGAGGGAAAAATTATATTCCACTCTTCTTCTTCAGGTTTCAGGAATCCTATTTCGCTCAAACATAAATAACCCATTACTTTGCTTCTCTAAGGAACAAGTGACATCACTTCTATATGAAAAGTAGCTTTACCTTTTTTGTAGGATATTTCCTTTTTTGATTCTGAAACTGTTGGTGATTTGACAAGTAGGCTAGGGGCAGATTGTCAACAAGTGTCTCGTGTAATTGGAAATGACCTAAATCTGATTTTACGCAATGTTCTCCAGGTAAAATTTCCTAACATGTCTAATGTTTTCAGATGTTCATTTTTGAGTTGGTAATTTACTTTTATCCTTCTCAGGGAACAGGTGCTTTAGTTTATTTGTTGTTTTTGTCCTGGCCATTGGGATTGTGCACATTGGCTATCTGCTGTGCACTATTCACGATAATGCTATTATACGGCCAGTAAGTTTTTCTTGGTGTTTTACTTGTATAGTATTATATCTTAGAATCTTATTTACGAGATGGAGTTAGACAATCAGTAGAACATGCATGGTTTTAATCTATTATAAATGAGAAGTTCCAAGAATAATGGTTCTTACTAAAGACTTTTGGTCACTACTGCTTTGAGTTAATGTAAGGACCAGCTTATTTAGATGGTTAGAATAGGAATAGAAACAAGAATAATGTATATAGTCCTACTTAGAATAAGTATAAGAATAGGAATAAGAAAAGTATATAGAATCCTACTTTTCCAAGTATTGTAATGTAGTGTCCTAGTTGGAAAAGAAGTCTAATGTAGTGTCTATAAATAAGGTCTCAATGTAATAATGCATGCCTATTAGGAAATTGAAATCCAGACAATGAGTAAATTTGATGTTCTATTCCTCTTAAAGATGGTAAACCTTTAGGAATATCATTGTGAAAGACATCAACATAATCCTGCAAAATTTTAGAAACAACATTAGGCAAAGGATCTAAGTCGTTAGAACTAAATAAAATAATAAATTTTAGATGAAAAATAATATGAGTTTAGATTTAAGAAGTTGAATACTTAATATCAAGATATAACCATTAGTTGCTTCAGCATAGTTGTTGTAATACTTGAAACATGAGAAAACATCAAAAGAATGCCCAATACCTTCACTAAAGAGGTGATTTCTCAAATAATGACTCAACTAATAGTTATTATTTTTGGAAGTCATATTTACTGAAGAAAATTGGAATAAAAAAGAAATGTGTCTCTGTAGAAAAGTGACTGTAACTTCTAGTTGACTGATCATCAAAGAAATCAACTCCTTAATTAAATGGCATTCTTCAACTCTTATATTTAACGGGATATTATGTACTCCCTTTGTCACATACTAATTGTCCACCTTACTATAAATAGTTGTCCCAAATTACTTGTCAATTTACAAAACCAAGATAGAATTTATTATATTTGTTCCCTTTCACCCTTACATTTAATTCTTTTTTAAACTGAAAACAAGTTATATGTAAACTTCCGAAAAAATTCTCAAGTGTTAAATTAGTAAATCTATCCTTCTTATTAATGATTTCTTAAGGGGTATGTAAAAGGATAAATGGACAACTAATATGAGATGGAGGGAGTTTATGTAATAGCTTAACCAATATTTGAGCTTGGAAAAATTAAGAAAAGAAGGAGTATAAAAATTAAATTGCAGCATACATAAGTAAAACAAGAGGTGGGTGGGGTGGGGGGCTTTGGATTCAAATCAAGAAGGAAGTGTAAGAGTTGTCAAAAAAGTAATTACCTAAAAGCAAAATGTTAAATTAGGTCTTAGGCCTAACTCACACCCCAAAAGCTAGCTCAAAGGGGGGAGGATTGCCCAAACCTTATAAGGAGTCCACCCATCTCAACAACCAATATGAGACTTTTGTCATTCTTTAACACCCCACCTTACGCGCAGTGCTTAGCATTTGATGCGTGGGCAATTTTGATTTTGAGGCCCCCAACATTGGGTGAGATGGGCCCTGCTCTGATACCATGCTAAATTAGGTCTTAGGCCTAACTCACACCCCAAAAACTAGCTCAAAGCGAGGAGGATTGTCCAAGCCTTATAAGGAGTCCACCTATCTCATTAATCACCAATGTGAGACTTTTGTCATTCTTTAACACAAAAGATGTTTACATTCACTGAAAACCTTTTCCATTTATAGGTCAAACATGTTAATCAATATCAAAAAAATTATCTTAACTGTATTTTATTAACCTTCTATGTACAGTGTTTTTAACCTCAAAGTCTACTATATTACACAAAATTGGGGCCCAACTTTTGGGCCTAAAGTAGCCGCCTTATCTTCTTTACCCTTGGGCAGGCACTACTAGTAGCTCATATTTTTAGACCATTTTTAGACTTCAACATACGGTGTAACATGCGGACCCATATGTTGTTTCGCATATGAACACTTGTAGCATGAAATTTCAACATCCTCAGAACTCCACATACAGTATGACATGCAAATCATGTCTAGCATGTGGTCCGTATGTGGGTTTCACATCTCGATCACTGAAGCTCAACATTTCATCACCACATGCGGCCCACATATCACTTATGTGGCTGCAATGTTGGCTGTATTTTGCCCCTATTTTCTGAACTTGCATTGTTTCAATTTCCTTTTTTTGGATAACTGAGAAATCTGTTTGTGACCTGCCCTTTGGACCAATCATAGCCTTCTAACTTGGTGGATTATGGGCCCGCCCCTCTACCCTTCTCCACTTTGCATGATGTGGGGCTTGAACCTGCGACCTAAGCCACAAATCCTCCACATTTTGCCACTCGAGCTAGGCCTTGGGGGCTCATTGTTTCAATTTCTTTTGAATCCAAATCCGTAAATTTACCATTCCAATCTATAATTATTGACTTTTTACCTACGCACATTGATTTTCTACGGAGCATGGGTTAAGTAACCCACGTTAAAAGAATTCAAACTTAGCCCGGAAGTACCGAATGTTACAACTAGAAGGAGTAAAGGATCAAGAATTAAAAGGCTTACCTCCATCCTTGAACTCCAATTTTCCCTTAGCCTTTATCATCTTGAGTTTTAGGAGTAGTTTTTTCTTCTTGTTCAGTCAATTCCTCCTTGGAGCAGTAGTAGGTTGATTTCGCTATGACCTACCTTGTTTTATTTTTCTTTTCTATTCTTACATCCAATTTTACTAACTCAGCTGAGTTTACATATTGTAATTTTATTCCATCAGCTATCCCTCTTTTTAAACAATTAAGGAATCTAGCCATAGTGGTTTCTTCATTCTCATTATAATAAGCTTGGATCATAGTCATATCCATAACTTCAAAATACTCATCTATGGACATAGAATCTTTTTTTGCTGGCAACCAAACAAAAAAAACATTCAAAGGCCAAATAGTCATGATTACAAAGAGCCTATGAATCCTACTAACTGATCTACTTCATATATACCCTCTTCTTTACACCAAAAATATAGAGTATTAATGCAGTTTTCTTTAACTTTCTGCATTGGGTTAGTAGTATTCTTAAAGCACCTATTGTTTCTTTCCTTCCAAATTGACCACCATATGCAAGATGGAACTAGATTCCACCATTTTTTCTGTGTTTTACTCCCCCCTCTTCTCATCCAACAGTTTAGTAGGTCAGCAGTATGCTCAGGCACCACCCAAGGATCTTGAATAATGCTTTGAAGCATATACCATATCTGGGAAGTCACTCTACAGTGAAGGAACAAATGATTGTTTGTTTCCTCCTTCTCATGGCAAAAGAAGCACCTAGAAACAATCTGAAATCCTCTTTTTTTCAGTCTCTCCTGAGTCAGACATGCTCTTCTGTTTCAAATCAAGAAACAATCTGAAACACTCTCCCAAGAGGGTTATGATTCAAATCCTGTACTACTTTGGATAACAAGTCCTTTAGGTAAAGGAAAAGTAATTAAACCTAACTATGAACAGACATAAGGGAACTTTGAATAGTAAACTTGAAAAACATGTGAATAACTCCTAAAATGAAATAAGGAAACTTTGACTAGGAAACTAGGAAAGCATTTAAATTGTCCATAGCTATCTAGAAACAAAAATTAGGAAACTTTAGCCGCTCCTTCCACGTCTTAGGGTGTGAATCCTCCTCCCTTTTGGACTGATTTTGGGCACCAAGTTGGCCCCTCTGTGGGCTGATTAAATTTAGGCACTTCACTTGGCTAGTTCTTGGAGCCCATGTTGGACATAGACCATAAAATAAGTGTAGCTCGTAGCCAATTCCTCTCCACAAGACTTGAGCTCTTCTTCCACAATAAGTACCTTTTTAATCTCCCATTGAAGTCCAGCCACCTTATCTTGCATCTGTTTAGCTAGAGACCTTGTGAATGGCCTTCTTGGTGCTTCCAAAGTTTCATCCTTGTCCTTGGAGTAATTAGTATTCTCGGTTTTCCCCAAAAAGAAAGGGCCAAGTTGGTCTTTGGTGAACATGGAGTACTTACCATCCACAATGATGTGAATTCTTGTTTTAGTTTTTTTTGATGACAAGGGAAACCCGCAGCCGCTACCCTTTGGGTGCGCACAGGGTAAAATCCCCGCTCCTATGCAATAGCTCGCAAACCACATAGGAGAGGTAACCCGCACTAGGCAAGCCCGGTGCAACGAGCTCGACCCAGAAGGCAAACCCCTTGCTTTCGCTGGCAAGGGGTTTCAAACTTGAGACTTTAGTATTGATTTCTCTTCTTTAAATCACATTTTTATTTAGCGTAACTGATAAATTATGCTACCCTCTCTTAGTAGCAAATGAGTCTACTAGAATACTTTGTTCAAGTAGGTGAAGAAAACTTATACTTGAGACTTGGTGCAATTTATGATTTCTACTTCTTCTAACTCTCTCTCTTTGTGCCTGTTTCTTTTAACAGATACCAGAAGAAAGCAGCTAAGCTAATTCAGGAGTACACTGCTTGTGCAAATGAAGTAATCTTAAGAAGTTGATTGGTCCATTTTATCCCGATAAGCTATAAGTTTAATATTCAATTATATCCATTGATGTGACATAGGTTGCTCAAGAGACATTCTCTCTCATGAGGACTGTACGAGTATATGGAACTGAGGAACAAGAACTGCAAAGGTAACTACTCGAAGAAGGGATCTTTTCCTTTTGTGTTTAGTTTAATACTGTCAGGAGTAAACATATGAACATATGCAAAATACAATTACATGCAGTTTTTTAGTATTTACAAGAACTCGAAAATAACCATTTTCTAGAACAGGTATGCACGGTGGATGGGGAAATTAGCTGATATAACCTTGCGTCAAAGTGCTGCTTATGGATATTGGAACTTTAGCTTCAACACACTCTATCACTCAACTCAGGTTAAACTCTTTCCATTGTTTAGCACTGGAGTATCTTTCTTCACCCTTCGTACCTTCCATCTTTTTTTTCCCTTGAGTTAATAAATGAAGAACTTTTGTCATAAAAACCTTTCAAATATCAGGGTGCTAAGTTCTGAATGCTGTGAAAAGGAAGAGAAATAAGAGAGAATATGACTTGATTATTCCCTCAAGCAATTGGGTTTAAAAAACTGTTACATGTGCTAAAAAGGAAAGAAAATCACTACATAATTACAATAAGAGTAAATCAAGCAATCTACTATATTTATATTGTATTATCATTATTATTTTATTATTATCTTATTCTTCAATTTTATCATTACTGTTGTTCTTTTGTTTGCTTATCTTACTATTTTGTTGTCAATATTTCTCCTTTCTTAGTATTTCCATCCGAGCTTCTTTCACCTTGTATTTTTCAAACCTGTTTTGAAATATTTTTCTTGAGCTGAGGGTCTATCAGAAACAACCTCTTTACCTTACTACCTCTTTACCTTACTAGATAGGGGTAAGGTCTGTATACACTCTACTCTTCCCATACAGCACTTGTGGAATCTCACTGAGTATACTATTGTTGTACTCCTATATTTACAATTCTTCTAGAATATTTTTGGATTCTAATATTCCCACTTAAGCTGGTTCATAAAAATCATATGTATCGAGCTTGCTACATATACAACTCATAATTCATTTTATAAACTTAAATATTGTGTAGAGAAAAAAATTTACAAGTTCAAACATGTTATGACAATTAAATTTGACATGTTTAAACAAATAAAAAAAAAGACTTTACCATAGTTAAGCATAAAACAAAGAAGACAGAATTAAGTGAGGGAGTTTACTTTTATTAATGCTTCACGATTCACAAGAATTTGTATCCATTTGTAAGATTGTTGTGGCACGTGGGTAATAATCATACATAAAAAAAGGGAAATAAAAGTTTAAAAAATGTTGTGATCGGGAATGTAACCCGAGACCTCTGGCATCATTTGAACCCCCTTGACCGCTGAACCAAGCTTCAAGTCTGTTGAGCGATTTCATTTTATAATATGTATACCTAAAATAAAGATTTAACCTTATATATACAGTGTAATTTTTCCGTGAAGGGGGTTCAGCTGAACCCCCTGACTACCACGTAGCTCCGCCCCTGCAAGTAGGTTGACATGGATGCTATCAACTAGTCATGTTTTAGGTGATCAACCTGTCCATCAGAGCCAACATTTATCGCATATACCCAAAGAAAACCAACTATAGACTTATCCGGAGGCAAAGGAACGAGCTCCCTAGTACCCTTAAAGTATAAGACATACATCTCCTCAATCATAGCTAGTCGCCAGCCTATGTGAGAAAGACTTCACCTGTAGTCTGTGGAATAGAAATAGATGATATAAAGACATAATGAGCTAGTGATAAACAATGATAACTCAGATAAATATAGATATGATTAGGGTTACATGTAGAACAAATACCTTTCCAAGGGGTAATGGAAGAACTTTGTGAAGACAAGTCTGCATCAAGCAAAGAATTTGGTGTTGGGTGTGAATTGTCTAGGCAAGATGAAGGGTGTAGTCGACGATGATAAGTCAAAAGTGGTGGAGGTGGAGCTGTGGAAGGAAAGACAATGGCGGAATCCCCAAAAAATAGAATTTGTAAAACCTCATAAATGCCTAGATGTTCAGCAGAGGAGGATGTAAAGTAGGGTAATCGTTAAAGAAAGTAGCTTTGGCGAACATAAGGTACCACTGGAGGTTAGGTGAGTAGCATCAGTATCGCTTATGTACCCTTAAGAAACCAAGAAATACACATTTTTGAGCACAATGAGCCAATTTTTCGTTTCCTGGAGTGGTCTTATGGACAAACAAGTGCTTCCAAAAAGACATATGGTGAAAGAAAAAACAAGGGTGGCTGAGAAAACAAAACAAAGTGTGGAATCTGATTTTAAATGGTGGAAGAAGTCATACGGTAAATCATATCACAAGATCTGAGTATAGTGTCCCCCCAAATACGCAATGAAACATGTTCTTGTATGAGTAGGTTGCGAGCAGTCTCGCGACATGCCTATTTTTCAGCTAAAACGAACTGTTATCCGTCCCCCAAATTGAGAATTCTTACTCTAAGAACTCAGGGCTATGCTTTCTTAATATCGTCATTTTCTTGAGGTTTTCGACAAACTACTTTGATTCTCTGTTCAAGTTCAAGTTGGGTTCTCCAATTGAGGTTTTCTTTTGACACTCCGTTTAGATTTCAGTCGCTAGAGTTAATTCTTGGATTTGGAGATTTGGATAATTTGTTGCCTGAATTTGCCGGCTCTGATCAAACCCTTCTCCGGTCGATTTCCAGTGATTAGGAGGACCCACTAGTCAGCTTGAAACAATTACTCCAAGGAGGAAATTCAAATGGTATCCATGGCTATTAGAATTGTGGGTTTAAGGGTGAGTTTAGTGTTGTCCTTGTTGGGGTGGTGGCGTGAGGGTGGTGATGGCTATTTGTTTAATGGGGAAGAAGAAAGTGAGGTCCACATGGAAAATATAAAACAATTTCTTTTTAGGGCTTTCACGCGCTTAAATTTCCATGGGATGCACCTTTGTTAAGTTGAAGTGTCTAGATGGTCACAATGGAAGTTGGGGTGTTCAACTGCAAGTAGAGTCCAAGATTCCAAGTTAAGATGTCTATCTATGTATTCTGCCTTCAAAAATATTCACAGGATTCTAACAAAAACAATTTCATTTGAATGGTTCTCGATAGACGATAGAAAGAGATGATAGATGCTTCTAATTTTCAATTAGAGACTTATTCATTATCATCATCTGCAGATTCTACTTGTTTGAAATACAAAATAAGGTTTTCCAGTTAATTGTTTAAAGTGAACTCCAATTTTATGCTTTGAATTTTTTAGGTTATTGCTGTGCTGGTAGGAGGAATATCTATCCTGGCTGGTCATATTACAGCAGAACAACTTACCAAATTCGTATTATACAGTGAATGGTTGATTTATTCTACATGGTGGGTAGGGGACAATTTTTCGTCATTGATGCAATCTATTGGGGCAAGTGAGAAGGTTTTTCAATTAATGGATCTCGGTTCTAGTGGTAAATTCATTGACAAAGGTAAAAGTATTTTCCAAACTAGCTTCTTGTTTCACTTATGTACACCCTGTATTTATATTGAGTATCTTGGTGGGACAGGACATATTCACCCAATAAGTTTAAAAATACATTCTGTAATGGTAGCAAGAAATAAATGTATAAACCTTTTTGTCTTTTGTTGTTTAGATTTTGGAGTCCTGTATGTTTAAACATTTAAAATGTGATGAGAACAGAACATTTCAGTTGATATAGCATTAAAAAGAAAGTAATAACTGATTCTGTTTTGTGAAAGGGATATTATCTTGAGATGGTTCAAAAGACAAACTACGATGTGGAATTTCACATTGATTTTTTGTAGTACAATTATTTTAAAATGTCACTTTTTTGCACATTTGGATTGGAATTTCCAATGCTTGTTCTTCATTTGTTATGCTTTCCCTTTTAACTCCTTTGGTTGCTTATAATCTGTTGGCTACATTGTCTCAGTTATAAAATTTTAGCTATTAATTGGTTTTAACAGTACTTTTAGGGGTCGTTTGGTAGGAGGTATTAGGAGAAATAGTCCATGTATTATGCATGGTATTATTTAGTACTATGTTTGGTAGAATTTTTGGGCCTAAGTATAACTAATCCATGGATTAGTTATACACCCTACATGGTATTATAGGAGGTATTTACTAATACCTTCCATGTGGTGGTATTAGTAATACATTGGATTTAATACCATGAGATTATCTATGTAAACACAAAAATATCCCTCAAATCATTTTATTTATTTTCTTGATTTTATGTTTTATATTTGTACTAGTAAATTTATTTAAATAAATTAGCTTACAAGTTTTATTATTTAGAGAGAGTTGCTTGTTAATAAATAATTGCAATACATATCAATACAATATTTAAAATGTGAGTCGTTTAACATTTACTAATTGAAAGGGAAATATATCACCACATGACGTTTGTGATCTTAATTGAATATATTATTTGTTGGTTTATATGTGGTTTCTAATTGTATGTATTTTGAACAATTTATAAATTGCATACATATTAAAACTACAACTTGCAAATTTTATATGTAAATGTAGATGTCATTCGATTTTACTATTGTTTACCGTCTTTTCAATTTTAAAGTAGATGGTCTATCTATTTTAAATTGAAAATTGATGTTTTTAAGTGATTAATTTATTAAGATAACAATTGTTTGCCCTCAAATATTTCTAGTGAGAAAATAGCAAACATGACAAAATTGTTCTTCTCCTAGCTACTTAGAAGGCCATAAAAATATAATATTGTCTAGCAATTATCTACCTTGACTGATTACATAAAATAGAAAATCTCATAATAATGCAAGGGTATAATTTTTTTTTGATGACAAGGGAAACCCGCAGCCGCTACCCTTTGGGTGTGCATAGGGTAAAACCCCCACTCCTATGCAATAACTCGCAAACCACATAGGAGAGGTAACCCGCACTAGGCAAGCCCGGTGCAACGAGCTCGACCCAGAAGGCAAACCCCTTGCTTTCGTTGGCAAGGGGTTTCGAACTTGAGACCTCCAACATGGAAGTCCCAAGCTCAAACCACTGGGCCACCCCGAAGGGTAATGCAAGGGTATAATTGGAAAGAAGCTTTTTGTAGAGTTTTAATCCAAATACAAAATGAGGTCAGAAGCAATGAACCAAACACTTGATAAAAAATACATCATGTACTACTAATCCCTGCACTACTAATTCCTGCATTACTAATCCCTGCGTTACTAATCCCTGCATTACTTATTTTTCTACCAAACGACCCCTTAGTACACTGCATATCCCTCAGGCAATCTGAATCTTCTAATGCCCAAAGTATATGTAAACTGAAACTAGGCACAAAATAGACTCACCTATGTAGGAGTGCATTCATCCTTTGGCTTTCTCCAGAGGGTCCATTCATGTTGAAAGAATGATTTTATGCTTCAGTATTTCAGTTATAGGAAATTGTTTTCCAATGCTGCAAATAGAATACTTTTGAGGGATGAGTCCTAACTCCTAACAAATACCATAAATTCCCTCTGTAGGCTTAAGTTTCTTAGAGAAGCTTTATGAAATTTGTCCATCTTTTCTAAGACATGACTTTTATGGAAGATGTTTTTCAAAGGTGACGATGTGTATATCATGGGGGTGAAGGGGGAAGCAGTGGTTTGGTATAGAGGTACAGATTGTTTAGGGGTTCATAAAAACGAGTGCTCTCAACTATAGATGGATAGAGTGTACAATCACTTTACTTCTGCTCATAAAGGACGTTAATTGCTCTTTGATGCAAAGTTTCATCCAAACCTTATTGCCGACAGTTTAACATACCTAAATAAAAACTTTTGATCGGAAGTGTAAATTGCCTTTCAAGTGCAGCACGAAGTTAACTTATATAAACTGAAATAGCTCCATTTGTGCAACACATACTCTGAAAAGAATGTTTCCCAAATGCTGCATATTTTCATCCTGCTTTGTGGATTGTTGTAGGAGCCAAGTTGGAAGGATTAGCAGGACGCATTGAATTTGTGAATATTAGTTTCTACTATCCTTCAAGAGTTAAGGTATACTAATCTTTTTGATCTCTCAGCTTGTGGCTCATTATCCGAGAACAACTATTCCTCTTGACGAAACTCGAATACACTCTAACACTTAAAACCTTTTCTTATTTTCATCTGTGTATTAGTAGAACTTTTTAATCTGATAAAAGATTAAAATATTCATGTTCTCTGTCTTTGCCTCTTGTAAGAGGGAAATGGTCTTGTTGAAAATGTGTCCCATGATATTGCAGAAATAAAACAGCTAAGCTGCATTATCTCTAAAAGATTTCTTTTGCCGAAATTCAATTTATCAGTAACTAAATTTTTAGGATTTTAAATTATTTTTATTAGAGTCCTATGTGGCTTGAATTTAGGAGTTAGTTTCCTCTTTTTTTTGTTATTTGAAATTTGCCAATAAGTTAGTAGCATAGTTTTTTATGTTGTAGTTAGAATTTAAAGCTATAAATGTATGTCTCTGAGTTGTTAATAAAATAATTCTCTTTGACAACATTGCACTACTTTATAGAGCCATTTTCTTGAGGGACCTGTGAGTGAGATGGATTCCAAAAATAGTTTTTCCCAAATAGCTCCTCCTGTCTTTGATGGGGAGAATTACCAACTCTGGGCAGTAAGAATGAAGACTTATCTTGAGGTCTTAGCTCTGTGGGAGGCTGTGAAAGAGGATTATGATGTTCTTCCGTTGCCCAATAATCTCACGGTGGCCCGGATCAAAAGCCAAAAGGAAAAGAAAATTAGTAAATCAAAGGAGAAAGCAACTCTGTTTGCTGGGGTGTCTGCAACAGTTTTTAGAAGAGTTATGACTCTCAAATCAACAAATATTTTTTGGGATTATTTGAAGAAAGAATACACATGAGATGAAAGAATAATAGGCATGAAGGGTGTTGAATTTAATAAGGGAATTTGAGTTGCAAAAGATGAAGTAATCTGAGACCGTTAAAGAGTACTCAAACCGACTTCTCGGCATTGTCAACAAGGTAACATTGCTTGACACAAAATTTAAAGATTCAAGAATTGTTGAAAAAATTCTTGAGTGCTTGAAAGATTCAAAGTATCCATAACTACCTTGAAAATCACAAAAGATCTGTCCAGGATTACCTTAAGAATTGCTAAATACGTTGTAGGCACAAGAGCAAAGGAAACTTATTAGGCAAGGTGGTATTGTTGAAGGAGCCTTGGAGGCCAACCACAAGACTCAAAGCAAAGGTAATAATGCAAGGAAAAATTTACCCACCTTGTCAGCACTATGGCAAAAAGGTAATCCTCCATTTAATTGTTTGAAGAGGCCAGATGCATAATGAAAAAGCTGCAACCCGCTTGGTCATAAAGCTGTGATTTGCAAAAACAAATCTCAAAAGTATGAAGCAGATGTCCAAGTCACCAATGAGGAAGAAAAAGATGACCACTTATTTGTGGCAACATGTTTTTCAACCAAGAAGTCTAATTTTTGATTGATTGAAAGTGGTTTTACAAACCACATGATATATGTCACAAATCTTTTTAAAGAGTTCATGTACAAAAATAATTTCAGATGTCTTTTACGTGCCTGCTATTGATAAAAATCTTTTGAGTGTTGGCTAGTGGATGGAAAAAGGATTTAAATTCTTATCTGAGACAAGTATTGTTGAATCTTTAATTCCACTAAGCTGGAGATTTTATGAGTTGAAAGGAGAGGTAGAAACTTTTCATTTTATCCTAAAGAAGATGAACATAAGCCAGAATTTGTTGATATTCAAGTGCTGCAACTTGGATACATGGATCAAAGCTAGCTACTAGACCAAAGATAAACTGACAAATTCATTCACAAGGTCAGTTCCAGCCAAGACTCCAATCTATAATTCAGGATCCAAGGAGTGTTGAAAATATGTCTCAAGATAGTGCAGAAATAAAACAACTAGCTGCATTATCTCTAAAAGATTACTTTTTGCAGAAATTCAGTTTATCAGCAACCAGCTTCTAGGATTTCAAGTTACTTTTATTAGTGTCCTATGTGGCTTGAATTTAGTAGTTAGTTTCCTCTTTCTTTGTTATTTGATATTTGTAGATAAGTTAGTAGCATATTTTTCTATGTTTTAGTTAGAAATTAAAGCTATAAATGTGTGTCTGAATTATTAATTCAATAATTTCCTTTGACAACATTGCAGTATTTTCCTTCGTTATTTCCCTAATTCCTTTGTTTAAAAACCAACTTGCCTCCTATGGCCATTTACAAAATTGAATGGGAGAAAATGACCTTTTTCAAATCTCTTATGTGTAAAAGGAAAGATCTCTGGTAAATAGGACGTAAACTAAAAACAAATTTGTTAAGGACCACAAAAAACCAATTTACCCGAAAGGAAGTGGCATCATCATTCTTTCTCAGAGATTAGTGATGCTATGTAAGGCTTACACTGCTGGTCACTTCATGCTTACTGGTATTGGAAATGTTTGACTACCCATAAATTGCATGTTTTTGGTTAAAATTAGAGTTCCCATTCCTTTATTCATTTCTTTCTTGTAAAGCATCTTTTGTAGCCTGTTGAAGTTGATTTTGCATCCAGCAGTTCTTATATAGGTTGTCATCATGAATGCACACATGAACTTAAATAATTACAGTGCATAGATATGGTAGTTATGTTGCCACTGCCTACCTTGTCTAACAATTGTATGCACAATTTCCTTGTCTCAGACTATACTTTGGTCACTTGAAGATTTTGAGTATGAAGCTGTTGATATTTTGATTGTGAACAACTTCTTTATAGTTTCATTTTATCGTTGATTTCATGTATATTCTTTTTAGTTATTCTAGAATACAGAATTTCGAGGCTACAATTAGAAAAGCTTACATTTTTCCTACGGAACAGGTGCCGGTACTTCAACATATTAACTTCGTGGTGCATCCCGGTGAAGTAGTAGCACTTGTGAGTTCTTTAATTTCGGGCTGCCAATCTGAATATCCGAATTTTATTCTAGCTGCTAAATTCCATATTTATGCATGCAACTTCTAAGATCAAATGACATAATCTCGTTGTCCCATCTTATGTGACACTTTCTGTTTTAATCTGCTCCAAAAAAAGACAACTCTATATTTAAAAATAATTTAGCTTTAAACTTCTCAATTTACGCTTTTAACGAGAATTGCCACAAAAAACTATGACATGCTTAAGGCTACAAGTTTCAAAAGCCTTTCTTTCTTAAACTTTGTGTCTCCTCTAACACCTTCACATAAAAAGGGACAGAGGTATTATCATTTTACCCCTTCTTTTGGAATTGTGGAATTGCTTCCCTCTATGATCCTCATGATTAAATTTGTTCCTTTATAATTTCTTGAGAAGCAGGTAATTTGTCTATTATGGCCAGAAGGGTGTGGCACAAAATGGTTGCGGTTTGTATAGTAACTTCCAGGTTACTTAGTCCAATTACATGTTTGGGAACGAGTTCAAGCATGCATCATATGAATTTGTTTATCCTACATCAACAAAACCTTCTCTACTTTTGAAGATAGACTGGAAAGCAAGCTCAGAGAATAGCTAAGGGGAAGTCAGAGACTCCCTTTTTTAGGAACTTAGACTACCTATGTGCTAGTAAACTCCACCTATGGCCTATGCCTGGTCTTACATGGATGAGTTGCATTTCATTTTCCTTTTGTTAGTTTATCAGTCAGGGCCAAATTCTTCTCCCTAAAAATTCCTTATTTTCTTTCCTCAGCGACAATAACATCAACAATTACACCTTAATCTCAAACAAGTTGAGGTCGCCTCTATGAATCCTCATTGATCATGTCTTTTTCCATTTAAATTCAACTCATATCATCATCATACCAAATATAATAAAAAGTAAAAGTTTCTTTCCTCAGTGACAATAATATCAACAATTACACCTTAATCTTAAACAAGTTGAGGTCGCCTCTATGAATCCTCATTGATCACATCTTTTTCCATTTAAATTCAACTCATATCATCATCATTCCAAATATAATAAAAAGTAAAAGTAAATTAAATATACATAAATGATAATAATAATAATAATATATTAAAAAATCTCCATATTTTTACTGACATTTAAATCTATGATAAGTTCAAAATACTCATAGAAAAGAAATAGGTTCAAAATCAACGTACTAACCAAACTAATAGCCTGTTTGACCAAACAAGCTTCTGGAAAGTCAAAAGTGTTTTTTTCCCCAAAAACATCTTATTTTAAAAGGTTGAGGTGTTTGACTAAGCTTTTAGGAAAATAATAAGTGATTTTGAGTAGTAGCAGAAGCTATAAAAAGTAGTTTCCCCATAAGCACTTTTGGAACATGGGCAAAGCACAAATTGCTGCTCTAATATTGCCAAAAGTACTTTCCCAGTTGAGTAGCCAAACATAACCTGCTACTCTTCCAAAGTACTTTTTTTAAAAGCACTTTGAACAAAATACACATTTCAAAATAAACAAATTTCGGAAGCTTGGTCAAAATGCTTTAAAACCTATTTTCCAACTAGTAGATATCACTCCTACAATTTTTTTCTTCCATTGTGCCTTATCTTTAGCTAAGTCTTTATTGATTCCAAGAAATTGTAGGTCTTTGAAGACTCTACTTCATCTCTTCTTAACACCTTAACTTACCATACATATAGACTAGTGCAGCTATAGGCCAACACAAGATATGACCATACAATCTTAAACAACCTTCTCTCGTTTTATCGTCAATCTGTACTACTTGAACATTCCGGTGAAGGTGATCATTTTTAATTTTATCTAATCCTATATGACTCTACACATCGATCTTAGTCAACAATCATCTCATGGATTTATTGGACTTTTTTTAAAAACTGGTAACTTTAAGATATATTTGACTTTAACAGCCCAACAGTTTTTGAAACTGAGTTTTGTTTTAATGTTCCAACATTAACTACCATATAACATTGTTGGTCTTATAATTGTTCTGTAGAACATACCTTTCACTTTGGTAGGCACCATTCTAATACATGACACTACAAGAGCACTTCTCCGTTTAAAACATCTTGTTTTAATTCTACATTAACATCTTCATCTATCATTCCATTCTTCTGAAACGAGTCTAGATATCTAAATTCATTTTCATTTTGGCACCGCAATCTTGTCTTGTCTTGCCTCAATTTCACTCTTCCCATGATGTCTAAACTTGTACTACTTTACTTAGCCTAAAACCCCTTACTCTCTAAAGCGCTCCTCCATATGATCACAATCGAATACACAGAACCACATAAAAACAAGTAAAGGATAGGATTAGAATAGAACGAATATATGTGCGCCGTCAGAATTAAATAGATTTGTGTATCCCAACTATTTTTTAGGGGTATAGAATTGTGTATATTTTTATTTCTCTATTCATTAATTTGAAACATGACTGAGAAGTGAATGTCATCTGTTGTTTAGGTTGGCCTAAGTGGTAGCGGAAAAAGTACTCTGGTGAATCTTCTCCTCCGGCTGTATGAGCCAACAAGTGGGCAGGTAATTCTTGTCATGTTTGATATAATAATATATTGTTGAACTATGAAAATACAAAACAAAAGGGAGCTCAATGGTAAAGTTGTCTTAGGTCATGGGTTTGACCGTTTGAGTAGTGGAATGCCATTGATGCTTGTGTCAGGGTAGGCTGCCTTATTACACACTCTTCCCAGTACCCTATGTGAACTCATGATGCTTCGTGCATTGAGCTTCCCTTATGAATATACAAAATTGACCCTTCTTGAGGAATTTGCAGATGCTTAGATCATACTAATAAGAAGCCTTGAGAAAAGCAGTGACTTTTTGTTCCACCTTGCTTTCTCAAATAAAAGGAACTTCTTTTCCTAACTACTTGTTTTGGATTTGAAGATATGCATTGATGGCTACCCGATTAGAGATTTGAACATCAAGTGGTTGAGGGAAAGAATTGGATATGTGGGGCAGGTTAGCCTCATATACTATTATCCTAATTTGAGTTTTGTATGGCTTTATAATATTATGTTACTAAGATATTTTGAACAGGAACCTAGACTTTTCCGCATGGATATCAGCTCAAACATAAGATATGGCTGTAGTAGAGATGTCAATCAACAAGATGTGGAATGGGCTGCCAAGGAGGCCGCTGCCCATGATTTCATTTCATCTCTACCCAATGGCTACCACACAATTGTTGATAATGATTTGCTCAGTGGAGGCCAAAAGCAGCGAATCGCAATTGCTAGAGCCATTCTTAGGGATCCAGATATTTTAGTACTTGATGAAGCCACTAGTGCTCTAGATGCAGAGAGTGAACACAACATTAAGGTAAATTTTCTAAAAGTCGTTTAACTGATAGAGATTGTTGAATTGCATACTAAATATGCATTTTCAATCCCCATAGGGTGTGCTTCGTGCTGTCAGAAGAGAACTGAACTCAAAGAGAACTGTCATTGTGATTGCACACCGGTGAGTTGTCTTTGTTCTTTTCAGCAGAACCGAATACTAGCTTGTAACACTGGTAAACTGCTATCTACAGGCTTTCGACAATACAAGCTGCTGACAGAATAGTTGTGCTGGAAAGCGGAAAAGTTGTTGAGGTAGATATTATGGCTTTTAAACATATCATAGGGAGAGCAGCTAATAATCACAACGTCATTCAGTCTCCTTTCTTGTTTCGACCGTTCTTTGCTCTCTGTGCAGTTCTAACATAGCAGCATCACATTAAGCAACCAATACGACCAGTGCATTTACCATCATGGGAGTGGTCTACTCTGGATTTTTTTATGACGCCAAAGTTTGTGTACTTGTAAACAAAAGGGCTATTAGTCTATAGTTGTCCATTTAGTATCTAACAAGTTGAAACTGAAGTGTGAAACCTTGCAACCTGGAGGTTCACATTCTTATTCATATCTACCTTAATCTTATACTAAAAATTAGAGCTGCCTAATGCTTAATTAAGTTTCGGTCATGTAGTATGTCGTCTGGATTTAATCAATCTAGTAATCTCTGACTTGGATGATCTTACTTTTGCTACATTCAGATGGGTAGCCACAAAGAGCTTCTCCTCAATGATGGCTTGTATGCTCGATTAACCAGAAGACAGGCTGATGCTGTGGCATGAATTCTTGCAGTTGACCGACATAAAGGTTTGGTCGATTCTTTGGCCTACTAAGTTCCTGATTGGACACTAGAGATGGCTTGGTATATTTTATTTTACACAGCAAATTTAGCAATGCCTATGCACTAGATTAGATAGAACCTTCTGAATGAAGAGGACAGACAATATGGGATTAGTTGCAGATCTTGCAGTTGGACCATCTCAAATTTTCTCAAGCGAGCAGGTTAGCTTCAAAGATTTTGCTGCATCACTGGCCAAAGCTATAAACAATTTGAGTTTTGATGATGCTTAATGTATAACTTAGTCAAGGGGTTTGAGTGATGTACAACATGTCCAAAGGGTTGCAGAGACTTTTACGACAAAGCCGATACTGTTGATCCATGTAAATGTCTCGATAGCATGTCATTCTGGTTCAATCTACTAGAGCTGAAATTGAAAGAAAACCCAAGCTCTTGTCATGATAGAGAAGCATGTTTGTTTGGAAAAATCACGACACATCTATTTATTTAAGGGTTAATATTACAACTTTTAGATCTTTTTTTTTATATTACTACTTATAACATTTTAATTACAAGTGTTAACAGATTAGTTTTAATTTATATATTAATTAATTATATATTATTAACTATTATATATTATATAATGTTATATAATTAATAGGTGAGAGAAATAATATTAATGAGAGATAATCAATTTATAATTATCAATTACACCTTTAAGGAATTTTTTAACTTATCACATGTCAACCCACACCCCTCCATCACGTTACTCAAAATATCTTTTCCATAAATGCAGTAATTTATAATTGACAAGATAAATGATCTCCTCCTTGATTTTCTCCTAATTAGTTGATTATTATTTTGATTATTTTATTATTCCCAAGATATATATTGATTACTATTCAATTACTTTTTATTTATTAATGCCTATTGGGGGATTTAATTTTAAAAAATAAATAAATTTATCACTGTATGTTTTAACATGTAATTTTCTCTCTCTTTAATCTATTTTTTTTTGCTTTTCTTGATGTATTTTTTTTAAATTTTGATATTGTTTTTTTTTTTTTTAATCTGATTTAAAAAAAAAAAGGATTCTATATTTTGAAATTTGATTTCGTTTTTTATTTTATTTAATCTGAAACTTGATGTTTTGAGAAAAAAAAATCGTTTTACTGAAATTTTGAACTCGTTTTTGGTGTGTTTTCTATATCTAAAATACTTTTTTGTGGGTGAAATAAGTATATTTAATTCTGAAATTTGTTGTTTTATATATATATATATATTTAATTACATGTTTTGATTTTTGGGCGGTGTATATTTTTTTTGCTACTGTTTTTGACAATAATATATAATATGCATTGTTTTACATTGTCAGAGTTATTCTTCCTAGATTTATATCAGTTGGATATCAATTTCATACATTTTTATTTTTTGTCTTTGTTCTAAAATTTCAAGTTGGATACCAAGTGTATATAAATTGGATACAACATTAACGTGTTTTAGATTGTCTAATTTGGTTGAAATATCAGTTACATTTTTTTTTTCATTTTCAAGTAAGATATCTGTTGGATACCAAATGGATACCAATTGAATAAAACATTAACTTGTTTATGTTGTCTAGTTGGTTGAAATCTCAACTACATGATGGTTTTTCAATTTTCCAATGGGATATCAATTCAATATCAAATTTATACAAATTGGATTCAATATTAACTAGTTTTAGGTTGGCTATTTCAGTTGAAAACTCAATTACATGTTATTTTTTTCAATTTTACATACCAATTTCATACTAAGATTTGACTTAATTTTTCCAGTCGATATCAATCGCATACCAGCATTACCTAGTTTTTGAGTATACATTTGAAAAACACTGAATACACAAATGATTAACTAGCACACATAATAAATATTCTGAAATTATAGTTCATTAACATAAAAGACAAAATAAATTAAAACATGAGTTTGTCACAATAAACAACCAAATCAAAATAAAAATAAATTATGTCTTTTTTCAGAAGGGTAATTTGAGCATGTCTTCCTGTTGTGTCCCTTCCAATGACATGTATTGCACGTAATCTTAGACCTCTTGAATTTCACATCAGCAAACCATTTACAACGTTCAAGTTGTGGTCTCCATACAATTCTTTTTGAACCAGGTGACAATAATTTATGCTCCGACACTTTTTGAATTGCATATTTTCCTGTTCCATCATAAATTATTGTGTCAGTATTACATCATACAAAAGTACAAATAACTTTTATACATATGTTATATAAGTATACAAATTTCATACCATTTTTATGTGTACAAAATTCATACAAAGGTAGAAATACATATATTATTTTAAAACAATTTCATATGTTATTATAGGATACAAAAGTAAAAACACATATGTTATATTAGTATGCAAATTTCATACAATTCTTATTCACACATTTCATACCTATTTCATGTCAAAAGTTATCAATTATTCATACCAGGATTATGCCACTAGAATGCCAAAATAATTCCAACATATAATTATTAATTGTCATTCTTAAATAAACAGTATACCAAATTCATTAGATTATTATTCCCAAAATTCATTACAATATAATGCCAAAAAAAATAATCCAATCAAACCAAAAATCGTATCAAAAAATATTATGGATTGTCATACATGTCTGGTATTAGTAGTATACAAATTCCAAAAAAAAAAAAATCTATTTTTTTTAACCAGAAACATACCAAAAAATAAAAAATGGGCCAGACAAATAATGAACAAATTCAATGTTCATACCAAAATATAACAGTATACATTTAAAAAAAAATGCCATAATTAAAATTATTATACACAACAAAGAATCTGAAATCAGTATACAAATTTCATACAATTAGTATGCACACTTTTCATACTTATTTTATGTCAAAATTATACCTATTTCATGCCATAAGTCGTCACTTTTTCACATCAGAATCATGCCACTATAATACCAAAATAATACCACTTCTAACTATTAATTGTCATTTATTAGATAAATAGTACGAAAATCATTCAAATATAATTCTAAAATCATACCAACATGATATAACTAGTATACCAAATTCAAATAAATTTTATGTAATTATTTGTAGCCAGAAACATACAAAAAAAAAAAGAATGTTCAAACCAAAATCTATACCAAGTTCAAACAAATTTTATGTAATTTCAAAAAATGAATATTCATATAAAAAACGCCATAATTAAAATTATTATACACAAACAAAATTTGATTTTTTTTCCAGTATCACTGTTCATAATTTTTTTATGTTTGGTTTGTATTCCAATACAAATAAAATATCGCAAAGAACACTAACCTGAAGGATCCCATCTACCACCATGCTTTATTAATACTAATAAGAAGCCGTCCATTACAAGAAAATAAAAATATTGAATAAAAACGAATATGAATTAGATGAGAGTGACAACTTATAGAGAAAATATTGAAAAGAGAGAAACCTTCGAACAAAAGAAGAGAAATCTCTTTTGAACGAATTTTAACTATTTTGAGCTAAACAAGGAAAACAAATATTTCTTTTTTTATGAATCTCCTATTTATATTCCTCCTATTAATTATCATTAATTTTTTCAAATTATTTACTACTAATATATCCGTTTTTACCTTATTTATTTTTCACAATAATTATTTTTTATTTATATTTTAAATCATTTTTATTTTATTAAAATGTTAAGACCTGCAATTTTTTATTGATATAACTTGAAAGATAAAGACTAATATTATAACTTATAATTATTAATCTTATATATGTCAATTATAAATTTTTCACTATTTGCTTTACTAAATGATTGCCTTAGATATTTTAAATTAAACTTGAAGATGGTTTATTGGTTAAATTAAATGAAATATGTTGCACATTTCGGAATAAGAACTAAACATGAAATGCATATGCTGCCATTTCCAAACTAAGTTCCAATTTAACATTTTTGAAATAATGCACACGCCAACACTTTGTGAGGCCGACAACCCTATATGAACACATAAACCTTACATATACTGTATCATAATGATTGACAGTTGACATCCTGTAAAATAAGGAAAATGTGTCTTACAAACATGCCTTCAACTGAAATAATTGTATGTACATGAAAGGGCTATTGGCACAACACACCTGACTGACAAGGGTAAAAGTGACATATAGATGCCACGTAGCATTTGTGTACATGTGACACTTACTAGCAAACACATCAATCACATTAACTCACATACCCAATATGATTAAGCACCAAGTAAATCACTATCAATAACCAAATCACAACTAGCAAACTCATCAATCACAAAATATGAGAGGTATCGAAAACCAACCTCTATTAGCAAAAGTATTGAGCAAACAAAGAGGAACAAGGGTTTGGGGCTTCTTTTCCCATAAATATGCTATCCACAAGAGTTCAACGAGAGTAGAAATGCAAAATAACTAATTGACAATATGTACTGAATAGTTAGGAAGAAGAAAGAATGAGAAATTTTAAAAGAAAAAAGACATTTTAGGCATAAAGACCCTTTGTTTTCCCGCTGAGGTCCTAGTCAGCGAGCGACTAACTTTATCAAAGCTTTTCGGCGAGTCACCGATTGAGCTAGCTTTCCCATTTAGCCTTTACACAATAAAAACCTTGAATCTTAAGTTGGTGAGCTCGATCCAACTCACCTTACCATTTGGGTGAATCACCAAATGTTCAGGAGCTCGCCTAAAATGACAGAACCATTTCTAAGTTTCTTTGTAATTCACTTGGCGAGCTGAATCTTCCTCGCTAAATGCATTCGCCGAATCACCTTGCGGGTCTATGTCGAACCAAAACTCGTCATGACTGAATGTTGATGTCAAGGGAAAAGACAATTTAAAGTCTCGTTTGGATTTACAAGAGATGGGAATTCGAAAAGCTTTGCATCCTAATGAAAAAGATAATGATATCATGGAGCATCTAGTCCTCCATCTAACTGAAGACGCAATGTTGGATGGACCTTCACAATATCGTTTAGTGTGGGCAATCGAAAGATATCATTTTATTATTTATTTTAGTTAGAAAGAATTTTATTGAACTTTTTGGAATTTTCTATTTTAGGTTCTTGCTTAGTCTTAAAAACTATGTAAGGAGTAGAAGTCATCCAGAAGGTTTGTTTGTAGAGGGACAATGAATACACGAGTGGACGATATTCTGCTCAAGATATTTAGATGATGTGGAGACAGTCTAATCGACCATAGATAAATAATACTTTGTCTAATGAAACCATGAATCTGGAGGGTCGTCAATCAAGTGAAGAGATCAAAAGGGTTTATTCTTGATGACATTACACATGTTCAAACACACAAATATGTTTTATTTAATTCTGCCACCACAATTCCATATCGTGAGTAAGTATTAAATTGTTGAACATGCATAATAATTAATGATTAAGTAATAATATCGACAAGTTCTTTTATTAAGTATATATGTGTTTTACTTCCGCAAAGAACATATAAAAGAAATCAAGAAGGGAAATCCTCGTCTATCAAGACATGATGTGGATCAGATTCACGACGAAAGATTTCAAA